TTGGGAGCCCTCCTCCGACGATCCGCCGCCCTGGGATCGTCCGAGTACCCCTGGGACCCAAAAGCAGGCTAAGGGTTTGGGGTTTAGGGTTTAGGGGTTTAGGGTTTAGGGGTTTAGGGTTTTAGGGTTTAGGGGATTAGCGGATTGGGGGTTTAGGGGTTTAGGGGTTTAGGGTTTAGGGTTTCATTCGGTCTTGCATGCGACGATGGCGATAGTGCTCGTGTACATGACCATGGTGGTGGTCCGGACGATTGTGAAAACTTATGGTAACGATCATGGTCGCAGCTCCCCCGCAAGACTCTCGCGCTTTGCACCGAGGAAGGGCTGGAATTCTAGATGCACCCGGGTACCCAAGACAAGCTTAGAGGCCAAAACCCCGGAATCTCTCACAATGGTGAGCCTGATTCATCAGGATCCTCTTAAGATCACGCCAGCGCCAGGCTCCTTGAATACACGTCTGGCAGGGTCCCCCCCTCCCAAAAAAAACAAAAAAAGTTGCCCGTACTCCACAATACGATCCTTACTTACTATGGAAGCCTCAATAATTACCAACATGATTCCTTAGGGTTCCTTCTTATAGTTTTACTATAAAGGAGCCCCAAACCCCATTCTAATAATTAACCCTAACCCTCCAGGTACCTACTATATAGGCCCAAGGGGCTCTAGTACCCTCTACAGTAGGTACCTGGAGGGTTAGGGCAAGGCTCCTACATTACATGTACCCCGGTCGGGGCAGGGCAGTCTCAGCAGCATGAAAGCCCAAACCTTCAGGGTTTAGGGGTTAAGTTTTAGGGTTTAGGGGTTTAAGTTTTGGTGTTTAGGGTTTAGGGGTTTAGGGTTCATAGGGTTTAGGGTTTAAGTCTTAAGTTTTAGGGTTTAGGAGTTTTAGGGGTTTAGGGTTTAAGTTTTAAGTTTTGGGGTTTAGGGTTTAGGGGTTTAGGGTTTAGGGTTTAGGTTTTGGGGTTTAGGGCTTTAGGGGTTTAGGGTTTAGGGTTTAGGGTATAGCTACAGTCAGGTGAGGCGGAGTATTTTTCTTGACATGCTACATAGCACGATCATGAGACGGACGCTATGATGCTCTGAGGAAATCAATCAGAGGTACACTGCTATTGTAATGTTGTCCTTTGAGTGCTACAAGACTCTGTACAAGCGGACATGGGAGAGACCACACTCTAGCCTAATTGACCGGTTTAGCATGTAAGGTCCCGGTTCTACTTGTATAGCCTCTGCGCTGCTACCAACCCTAAACCCTACATCCGAAACCCCTAACCCTAAACCTAAACCCATAAGCCCTAAACTTTACCTAAACCTGATCCCCTCAGCCTTAAACCCTAAATCCGAAACGCCGAACTCTAAACCCCTATCCAAAACACCTAAAGCCCTAAACCCTAAGCCCCTAAGCCCCTAAGCCCTAAACCCTAAATCCCTAAACCCTAAACCCCAAGGCCCGGCACAGTGCCACTCCGTGCTGTGGCCGTCGCATGGCGACCAGGAGTTCCGAATCGCTGCCTGCCGTTTGGGGACTTGGTGTGGTTTAGGGTTTAGGGTTTTAGGGTTTAGGGTTTTAGGGTTTAGGGTTATATGGAAGCGGAAACAATTCCAAATATTGATACTATTCCGTGGTTTCCTATAAAGCTAGACTATGGCAAAGCCCCGAAACCCTGTGCCAATTACAAAGGCTTCTACATGAGCAGGTCAGGCAGAATCTCCGTTCTAAGAATCCTACTTGAAGGATCAGGGCACATAGTAAGTATGGTTCTAAGTACCCTAATTAGAGTTATAAGTAGATATAACTATAGTTACCTTACTTGTAACCCTACTTTCTAAGTCCCCTGACCCTCTAAGTAGGCAGGGGTGTATCCTATGTAGACTTAGCAGGTCGACCGGAACTTGTGCACGGAACCCTCAACCCAAAGCCCTCCCAAACTTCGGATTCCCAACTGTGCTGCTGGACATGCAGAGTTGTGGCAACCCTTTCTTTTGTTTTTGGCTGTTGACTTGGAGTAATTCTACGACGGCACATCAGGGTTTAGGGTTCCTGAGTGATGTCCCGTTTCCGCGGTTCGGAGTCTCTGGCAATCATGGCCGATTTCATGAACTTCGCCAAGGTCTCACATGCATTGGAAGCCATACGGAGTATGCAGTTCACCCGGCCACGCAGATTCGTAGCCAGCAACGCATGCAATCACAAGCTGCATGTTAAGATGTCCCGCCGCATTTTGCTCGGTAGCACCCCCCGAACCCTGCATATGCCCTGATGCCCCGATGGGCGTCACGTCGATGTCGGTAACCCCTGAAGCCCCTTACTCACCTCCTAAGTCCCAAGCCCTAAATCCCTAAAAATACCCCCAAAGTCAGCCCGAAAAGAACTCTTCAGCCCAGAGCACCGTAAGTCTGGACACAGAGACCTTGACTTTATGGTAAGTCTGCTCCCCAAACCCGCAAAACTCCGGCGTTTTGAAGCCCAGCCCGAACTCCTCAACGTTAAACACTGAACCCCAAAACCAAACATCCTCAGACTATCTAAAACCTACAACCCACCCCTTAAGCCCCTGAAATGACTATCTAAAACCTGCACCCCCCCTTAAGGTTCTGAAATTTCAAGCCCCCAAAGCCACCGGCTGCACCTGGTCCCAATCCTTCGGCCGATGCGCATGCAGCCATGTCGAACCGGCCCCTGTGCAGGGTTTAGGGTGGGCTTCGGGTTTAGGGTTAGCATTTCGAATCTTTTGGGAGATTAGGGCTTGACGGGTATTTAGGGCCGTAAGAGTTTGAGGGTTTCGGAATTAGGGTTGAGGGGCTGGGGGTTGTGGGTTCGGCAGTTTAGGGTTTGGGGTTAGTCAGGGTTTGCGAATTGCAGGGTTTGGGTCTAGGGTTCAGCATTGAGGGTTAACATGTGCATGAAGCATTCATGTGTGTTAAGAGTTAGAGCTTAGGGCTTAGGCTCACGTTTTGCTTAAGCGGTCATGCATACCCCACAGTTTGTAGGTATCAGTGCTTCAGGCTACAGGTAGGATGGATGGTTGACGGATGCATGACGATGGATGGCAAGATAGATAGATAGACAGATAGATAGATAGATAGATAGATAGAGAGATAGAGAGATAGATAGAGAGATAGATAAATACACATAAGTAGGTAGGTAGATAGAAACACGGTATTAGAGGTGACTTTGGCGGCTGCACTACAGCTTGAAGCCCACACCTTTTGTGGAGATTCTTCAGATGTTCCCCTTCATGTGCTCCCCTCTGCTGAATACGATACTCCTGCACGGGGTCCTCTGGCTATGATGAAATGGCAAGTCTCAAGCCGAACATCAAACTTCATTATACCTTTAACCCTGCACCCCGGAACCCGATTTAGGGTTTAGGGTTTAGGGTTAGTCTTCTCAGCCTACAGCCCTCAGCTCAGGTGGAACCGCAGCAGCAGCAGCTGGACTGAAGATGACCAGTTCCTCAAGAACTTCAGTGTGGGCTTCGACCAGCCGCGGGGGGCCCCGGGAAAGTTCAGTCAAGCCTTCTCTAAATGAGCCCTTAGGAATATAGGGTTTAGGGTTTATGAGGTGGGTAGTCATTCCGCCTCCATTTTTGGGGTTGAAGGCACAGAGTGTTTAGATTTCGAGCATTCAGGTTTGTGTACGTTTCGGGCTTCATTCGTAGCTTAGGCCGTTCTGGGTTTCGTCGTTGGCATATGCATTCAGGATGGATGGGCGGATGGAAGTATGGGTGTATGCACAGCAACGTGCGATACCTGTGCTTCCGTTCTGTGAAATGGGGCACTGATCATACCGATTCTTATCAGAGGAGCTCGCATACTTTTGAACGTGTCGAAATTCCGCAGTCGAATCCGGACTAAGTACCAAATCTGCTGGCAGCCAGTCTCTGTCCTGGTATCTGGATCCAGCATCGTGCGCATCTGAACCATTCAGCCTGAATCCTCAGCACTCACCTCCGCAACGTTTGGTGTAAAGCTTCAACCTGAAGTCCCTGAACCAGACAGCCTCAAGTCCAGCAGTTCTAAACCTCCCAACTTAAATTCCTAAAGCCCCAAGCCACTGAACGCTATGATTTTCAGCGCCACACAGAACCGGAGATCTGCACTGACTAGGTTTCGGGGCGTCTGGGCCCATACCATCTAGACCCATGTCACAAGCAAGTCTGCCCTCTTCGACGAAGAGGTTCAGGGGGATTTAGTAAGTGTGGCTATACGTAGCTTAAAGAGCTTGTAAGTATGATAAGTAGACATAAATAACCACAGACTAAGTCCCCTGAACCTCCCAGCAGGTACTCGCACTCCAGTTTGCGCGGCGGTCGGGATTCCTACACTCGGACAGGAAGGCTGTCCATCCCTGATGTTCCCGAAGTGAAGCAGCGGCTTCACCGCATCATTGCGAAGAAGTTCACTGAAATGCGCCCGCTCTGCTGGGTAGCGTTTTGGCTGAAAGCATGGGGTTTGGAGAGTTTGCTTTCCATTGAGGCCTCTGGCATGTCTTCACTAGCCTTGCTCATCACTTGGTTGAGGTTCCCGGCGTGTCCTACGATGGACCCCAACGCCTAAACCCTGAACCCAATGAATCGCTCCTTGGCACGTATCACAAGTATCGATATCAACAGACAGCATCCTCAGTGCAGATAGCCTTTCGGGGCTTTGAGATTCCTACTCAAAGCATAAGTTTTGGGTGGACGGACAGGAAACTCAGCAACTACCTTAAACCCTACCTTAACCCCAAATAACCTACTTTTTTGAGGACTGGTATAAAGAAATTGTAATAAGGAGCCCTAAAAAAGGTAGGTCCAGGTAAACCTTGAGACGCTAAGCCCGAAGAAGTAGACCACGCAACTCAAGGAGATGCACACGCCATATTACCCCTTCTACGAAGACATCGCTGCTCGCCTGCTTCGGTTTGGGGGTGCATTTTAAAGCACCCAGAAGCCTACCTTTCTGAGGACGTCAATGAATAAGTCATATTGGAGGCCCTTGAAATGTGATTTGATTTGAAGGTTCTGGCGGAATTTAGGTTTGGTCGTACAGGCATCGATCATGTTGAGCGGTCTAGGCCAAGGCTATTTACGAACGACGCCCATGCACCGTGAGGTCTGGTTTGAAACTTTTGCACGAGTTCTCGTATTCTGGCCATGATTGGAATGTACACTCTACTAAGTATAAAGGGATTACAGGGGGACACTGTTACTAGTTGTTCCGGCCTCTGCATTACATTACGGTTTAGGCAAGTAAGGCCGCAAGCAGAGAAATATTGTAATCAGAGCTGCACCCTAAACCCTAAACCCTAAACCCAACATTAAAGCCCTAAGCCCTACAACATAACCCTGGAACCCGTGGTGCCCAGCGGCCCTGACACCGAAAGACTTGTAACCTCATACGCCCGAAACATCGGGACGTCTTGGCGGACAGGAATGGCATTATGACATACCGGGCCCTTGATCTGGGCAGCACCTTTTTGGGTGCATCTCCTTTTCTCCAGCAATTCAGCATCCACTCAAACTTGGGGTTGGGGTTTGAATTTCCGCTGCGACTGAGAGCATATGGCCTAAACAGATTCTTGACAAGAGTTTAGGCTTCTGAAGCCAAACTTTGCATTGCATCGGCGCAGCGCAGACACCAGGAGCAGCATGACTGGATTCTGTATGCGTGTTTGACCAGTATGCAACTTCTTGCCTATTCAACCCGAAAGAAGTATTTTGTAAAGGTACTGGGCTACACCCCGAATCAAGTTGATGATTGCTTATCTATAATCCCTATTAAGCCCTGAACCCTAAACTTGAACCCTAAACACATGCTTCCAGTAAGCCGGGGCTCCTAAACTTTAAACTCGAGTAGCCATTGGCTCCCCTACCCGAGATCCGACAGCCGCAGGATATCATTGGCACCAACCGCAAGGAGGACGACCCTCCTGAGAACTTGCTCATGAACTCGTGACATGGCTTCAGATCTTATCTTGGGTTTAGGGTTGAGGGTTGAGGATTTAGGGTTGAGGGTTTAGGGTTTAGGTTTGCTCTGTGCATGTGGGGCTCGCTGCTTCAAGCTGTGTGGCTTGGGACTTCTTCGCTTGTCTTGTGTTTCGGGTTTGGGTTTGTAGAGTTTAGAGGGTAGTACCTCGAAATTGGTGAGTCCCCTAATCTTTGGAGGCCTCTACAGCAGCCTTGTGCAAACCCCTCGCCACTCATCCTGACCCCCCAGTCAGCCCAAACTTTCGAGCTCCTGGAGGGCTGCGTTGTTCCAAAATGTCTGTACTACACAAGGTGCTGGGGCCTGTTTGGAACACGGAGGGGTCTTCCCTAGAAGTCTGTAGAAGCCCCTAACCCCTACCCATTGGCCCCATAGTGGTTCCTACCTCATAGGATCTAAATATGAACCTCAAAAAGGAACTACTATGGGGCCTATGGGTAAACCGTCTACAGAACCTGGGTTGCCCAAGCCCTGGAACTCTGAAACCCTGGAATCCGAAAGTTTCGAACCTTGCAAACCCAGTAATGAAATATAGGGGCCTTAATACTTATCTATATTATTTTAGGGGCTCCTCATCATAGTTATATTACAATATACCCCACAACCCTGTTCTAATTATTCAGGCCCCTAGATCATCCCCATATCATAGTCCCTACATTGTGGGACCTCTAACAGAATTAGGGGATCTGCCCTGATCCTTTACCCTCGAGAACACCTGCTGATCCCACGTAGAGGTAGAGAGGACTTAGTAAAAGGATCACAACCACTGTAAGTAGGGTAAAAGGTAGATATTACCATCGTAACTTTTACGTCACTGCTAGGCCTACTTGCTAGGCCCGCTGATCTTCTGAATACACTCTCAGCTCAGAATCCTAGACCCTGAATCCTAAGCCCTAAACCCTAAACTAGGGCTGGGGGTTTAAAGTCCAATCCAGCCGAGGAAGGAGTTCTGGAATCTGCGTGCCGAGATCTTGCATCAGCTATTCCCTGAGGTACGATGTCTCGAGTTGCCACGCGACCGAAGTTGTTCGAGTGCTTCGGGTGCTTGTTTAGATTTAGGGCTTTCGGGGTTTAGGTGAGGTCTTCGAGGTCTACGGGTCTGCTGCATTAGGATTTGCGCTGTCAAGAAACCTTAATTAAACCTTATACCATCCTATACCCTAGACCCCGTAAACCCACATCCATAAACAGAAACCTTGATAAGCCTAAGTTCCTAAATCCCTGCAGCACTAAATCCCTCAACTCCCAAACCCTAAGTACTTTAAAGTAGTTTAAATCCCTCAGCTCCTAAACCCTAAACCGTCCCAACTTTCAGATGTCCGTTGGCATCTAGAGGTCTGCAGCCCCATAGGTCCGGCAGAGGAAGTCTACGGCCGAGCTCTTTAGGGTGTAGGGTTCCCTTTGGGGGGGGGGGGGGGGGGGNNGTTTAGGGTTTAGGGATTAGGGTAAAACCCAAAAAGTTGGAAACGGGATTAAGGACAAATAGTGCTCGGATTCCCAACACATGACTCTTGATTGAGGCTATTGGGTTTCCAACTCTTGGGCTTCTACTATACTCTTTTGTCCAAACAGACGACCAACCTTGAAGAAAGTTAGAATGCAAATCTTCAGGTCTTAGACTTTTGTCACTTTAGTGCTCTTAGGAACGATGTTTAAATTTAGTACAGTATCATGAAACCCCAAGAGATGGCTAAACCATTAAATTTCGCTTTTGGTTCTAAGGACGCTTAAGGAATATATGTTTCAACTGAATACATCTATTCTCAGACCTTTGGTCGTTAAAGACAATTGCTTTTGGGTGTTGTGGAACAAGGACTCCGTAGTCAAAGGGTTTAGGGTTTAGGGTTTGAGCTCTTGGAAAGATAGCCTAGAACCGGGTTTGCATGTTGAAGTTTCGAGGGCATTGATCCAGGACCCCTTGTTTGGGGAGTCCCACGTATCGTCGAAGGAGTTCCTCTATCGGCCTACTGCAGCCTCCTTGCTTATATTGTTCCTATGAAAGCCATGCTGGTAGGGTTTCCGTTCAAAGCGTCGACCAGATGTGTATCATCAGTTCATCACTCTTGACGCAGGCTTTTCCGTAGCTATATACTTTTACACATATGTATGTATGTATGTATGTATGTATGTATGTATGTATGTATGTATGTATGTATATATATATATATAGATATGTAAATATATATATATATATACACGCATATCTTCATGTGTATATACATACATATATATATATATATATAAGCGGATGTCTTTCTCCCAAACTGAACATCTCACCACTCAGGACACTCTACAAAGCCAGCGGCTGGAACGTCCAAAAAGGCTTGAGGGATGATCCTCCAGTAGCATCCTTATAAGATCCCTTAGTAAGTCGTATGTAGGATCCTTTAGTAAAGGGATAAGATATTTGATATGTGCTTTCAGGCCTTTGCGGCGAAGCCCTGCAGTTTAGAAGGCCTCGGTCAAGTTTGGGATTCCTCGTGTAAAAATATTTTGCGATACCTCTTTCAAGGCTCCAGGTTTGAGTACCAAACCCAATAGAGGGATCCGAATAAATGCAAACACTCTTCCTTATGAGTTGCCCAAAACTCTTTTGGACTTATGCGAAGGCCGCTACTGTACACCGATTACCCGAACAGCTCTGCAGCTTTCAGCGCGATTCCACGGGTCGCACGCCAGGCCCTTGCAAAGAAACCTGACAGCGCAGAGCCCTGAACCGAGAGCTTCTCGCGAATCATTGTCACTTTCATGTTTACTGTATGAACTATAATAAAGCTCTTAAAAACCCTCTACGTCCGACATAAACCTCATCAGACATGATACTGCCCCTAAAACCCTAACACTAAACCTTTCTATTCTTAATTTTGCTTAGACACCAGCCCCTTGAGCCTTCACCGCTAGCGCCAATGCCCTGGGCCCCAACACCCCTAACCGTTACGCCGAAATCCTGGAACCCCGAAACCTTTTCGGTTTAGGGATAGGGTTTGGGGTTTAGTGTTTAGGGTTACTGTACTGTAGACGCCTGAATGACTACCGGAATTGCTCCGTAGGGTTTCCTTGTAATATACCCCAAGACCTTGTTCATCGAACGCCTCTCTGTAAAAAAATGAAGCGCGAAAGATTTCAGTTACAAAAAACCTCGACCCTAAAGCTAAGATATGGGCCTTGACAAACGTGCACTATGGCATATTGTAGTTTAGGGTATAGGGTATTGTGGTTTAGGGTTTAGGGGTTTAGGGGTTTGAGGGGTAGAACTATTCTAAGGAACCCTGAGGACCAGTACCGCAAGGAGAGACCCATGGGTTGATACTCCAAATCCCATGGACCGCTCAGACTGCTCCAGGAATCAACAAAGCCTCCTTCCATACCGTCTGGAGCCAGCTCATCGTGGACAAGGACCCCGAGATGGGTTTCGGGTTTACCTGGACCCTTTTTAAGGGCTCCTTAACTTATTGTGATTTCTTTACAAAACAGTAGGTTGTTTGGGGTTTAACTTTAGGTAGGGTTTAGGGTAGGGTTTTTGGCTCGGGGCGCAGCAGCTCAGGTTGACTATTGCAGAGCACACGAATATCAGAATGCCCGAATCCGAAGGTCCCGACCCCGACCGTGACCCTCACGGTTTAGGGTATAGGGTTTCGGGTTTAGGGTTTAGGGTTAGGGGCCGAAGCCGAAACACGTTGTGTTTCTGCCCGAAACGCTAGGCCTTCCGTGTCCTGGAGGGTGATTCAGATGGAAAGAACAGTCAAGCAAGATACCAGTTAGACTTCAGACTTCAGACCCTAAACCCTAAACCCTAAACCCTATACCCTCAATCCCCAAAGCTCAAACCGGAAAACCTTAAACCCAAAGCCCCTCGAGCAGGAGCGAGCGGAGGCGGTCCGCAAGACCACGGTGTCAGAGCCGCTGGGTGAAGCTGTCGGTTTAGTGTAGGTTTTTTGGGGGCTTTGTGTTTGATGATCTTTAGTCATTACGTTATTCAGCGTTTGTTTCAAGAGGGGTTGTAAATTTCGTGTGGGCTGGTTTAATTGAGAGGGTTCTCAATCACCACCTTGCCCCGCCACTTTGGCTTACTCGTGCGGGACTCGTCAGGAGAGGCCTTCTGCCGATGAATTCGACAGTTTTTGTGGTCGGATCTTCAGTAAAACATGAGGGTTAGGTGACATTTCGCAGCCGAAGCGCTTGCCCTCCGTAAAGGGGTTTCGGGGGTGCTTAAGTGCGTTTTGGATTGAAGACTTGTTCATTTTCAGGGTGGGGTGGGCCTTGGCTTGCAGCCTCCTCAAAAACCAACACACACAAACCCCGAAGCCATACGCCTTGAACCTAAAGACCTGTAAGTTCCTGTCAGAGCATGCTTGATCCTGAATCCCTAGCACTGATTTTGCAAAAGAGCCCCCAACTCGATGCTCCCTTCTTACAGAAGGCCCTGGAAGAACCCCGAAACTCTCATTCCTGAATCCTAGGGTTTAGGGTTTAGGGTTTAGGGTTTAGGGTTTAGGGTCTGTAGGCTGTAAAGCACACCCCGAGGTCCCCAACGTCACTGAACAACGAAGCCCCAGATCTCAAAGGCCCGAACCAAAACCCTGAATAACTGAAGCCCTGGGCCTTAAACGCATGTGAAACGGCTTAGGGTTCAGGGTTTGGGAGCGTCTCAAACTCTATATATAAACCCTCAACCCCTACACCCAAAACCCTATTCAAACCCTGGTCGAAAAGCACCAGAATAAGCCCAGGTTCGAGCGTCTTTCCGTCAATGGCCCGCTGGCGGACCTGGCGAAGCGGTTGAAGCGCGTGAATGCGCCTCGGGCTGGGTTGGGGTTGAGGGTTTAGGGTTTATGGGTTTATGGGTTCATGGGTGTATGGGGGAACCGGTGTTTTTTTTTTTG